AGCCACATACACTAATTTTACGGTCTAAAATTAATGAGTTATACACAGAATAGAAATCCCCAGAATACAGTATTAACTGGAAAATTTTTCTTTATATTTTTCTATTTTAATAAAATACAGCAAAATCCTTCTTAAACATGCATTTTTTTTCCACCTAACAATATCCATTTAGTTGATATAAAATTTATTTAGGAAGAAACATCAAAATAAAGTCATGACCAATATACTTGTGGCATACAATTAAAGTATCTCTTCACATTAAACTGTAGGGACCATCCTTGTTTCTCAGATGCCTAGCACCGTGCCTGACAGACAGTAGATGCTCAATAGATGTTTAACGAATACCTAAATACAATCTGTTTTGCACATACATTCAAAATCCAGACAAGTTTGCAAAGGTACATAAGTTGGACATAGGCTTTCTGGCTGACTTCATGGGGTCCCAGTGATGACTAGGAGTAAATCTTCACATCCATAGAACACTGGAAAGTTGATAAGTGTCTGGGTAAGGACCAAAAAAACAAAGTCAGGGAAACATGTCACCTAAGTAACAGTTGCTTTATAGAGCTGGTAAAAGTGGCCTAATCATTCCAATAACCTATTGCACTAGTCAATCAATGAAATGAGATTTAAGTTTATCTTGAACATCTGCTAGTATATCTTTAATTGGAATTTTTTTGAAATCGCTTATTAAAAATAAATTACTTTTGTTGAATTGCATCCTGGACAAGGATTTGAGAGAATATGTTTTTACTTTCTATGAGCACTGTGTTGTTAGCAGGATTTAATTTGGCTAAGAGAAAAAGTGAGTGCTACAGCAAAAATAAATGTAAAAATTCATGGTAGTGGAGAAGTCATAGCAAGGGGGAGAGGAAAGGAAAAAGGAAGAAAGGAATCCCACATATGGGAGCAAGGAAATTCAAATATGCCTAATTCTATCGTCATTGACGACCAACAATCAGTAGGGCCTACTGTGCACCGGACGCTGTGCTGTAAGGGATATAAAATGTTAAGCCAAAAAATCCTTAGTCTTTAGTGGTTCACAGAGCAAGACTAACAGGTAAACATTTATAATACAATATGCCTCATTCTTACATGTGGGTCTTTCATCCAAGAGCAAGAAGCATATTTACTGATGAATTAGAAGTGCAGAGAAAAAATAAGCATCAGGGGAAGCTGAAATAATTCTCAAAATAGTAAATATCCAGAATGAGAGAGATCAGTACCTTTTAAATCAACAACAAATAACTGAATTATAAATAGACAAAATTTTGGCTTAAAGCTATTCACCTAAATATTCTTAGAATATTATGCCTCCACATAAAATCTGTAAGTGCTATACGCAAAATTGTGAATGACAGTTTCATTTCTGAGCAAAGAAAATGAGGTAGTGTAGCGTAGTGAATATTAAGAGACCTAAGTTGTCTGGTCCATGCATAGTCTGCCCACTTAGAGGCCTTGGAACCTAGGCAAGTTCCTCAAGCTCTCCGAGCTTCAGCGATTTGGAAAATAAAGAGCTGGATAAAGCGACCTCCAAGATATCACTTAGATGAAAATTGCAATCCCAAAGTTTCTTAATATTCAAAAAATAAGCCATAATAAAAAAGGTTTCTAAATATAAATCATTTTCCACCTTAGAGGAAGCCTAAAATTCTCAAGCCATACAGGGTTACCCTAGGAGTGGTGGGATAAAGAAGTGTTTTCCAAAGAAAAGCAGACATAAATTAAATAAAGGTATTATACTCAAGACTGTAAATTTTTACTCAGCTGCCGATGGGGCAACTACCATCCAATTATCTACACAATTCGCTTTACTTAAAATTGATTTCTTCACTAAGTTCTACTTTCTCCCTCTTACGTTAAGGTTGCTGAGGAATTAGGGTGAGGACGAGGAATCCTAGGTGGACCTGGAAGAGTAGTATTGATGTTGGGAGAAGAACTTGAACTTGACATAGATTTCTGCTGAAGTGCACCATTACACCTCAGAGAAAGGTAAGAAACTGTTCAAATTTATAACAGAAAGGAGGGAAATAAGACCATATTGTTTACTGCTACACAGCTCTGTCCCCGTGTCTCAATGTCTACTTTTGCACACACGTTAATGAGAATTATGCAGAACAAGTTTCTACATTTGCAGTTCATTTTTGCCACTAAAATAGAAGCGATAGATATTACGTTTGGGCTTCACCATCAAGAAAATAAAAAAAAAAAAATCGAAACTATTACCATGCTGTTATAATATGTACGTCAAACACCCGTCTAGATTTATTTTTCTTCGATCCTTTCTATTTGATCAAATTGCTGTTTTCATATTACCAGTCTGATCATAAAATTGCTGCTTTACAGGAGAATATTTTTTGCTGACATAAATTATGGGATCAGAGATACCAATGCAGTTACAAAAAAGGGTGTGTGTGTGTGTGTGAGAGAGAAAGACAGAGAGAGTGTGTGTGTATATGAATGTGTGCATCCATCTTCAAGGAAAGGATAAAGAAATGTTATGTAGGAGACAAAATGCCACTTTCCAATGTAAGCCCTAGTAAAAGGCCTACCTTGGAAACATACTTTCTAGCATCTGTGAGACAAAAAATGCAGCACTGAATTTGAAAGCCACAGTGATTTGTAGGAAGACTCTTCTCCTACAGACCTAAACCTGGGTTTATCTTTCAATTCATGTCCAACGAGAATGAATATCCTAACTAGGACTTCGCGACTGGACTCCTGAAGATGCATTTTAGAGGTCTGTCTCCTTTCCCATGCACTGAGCAATCTGGTTCAGTACCCCAGGAGATGAAAAACTCCTCTCCATTTACAACACTAAATAAATAATTCAGTTAAAACTGAAAGTGGTACCAATCCAGCAAACTATTGATGGAGAGGTCTGGCCTTCCATGAAGCCAGAGCAACGTAAAGTTTTCAATGGGGATTACTTGTTCAGACAAGTTACAAAGATCAGAAAAATACCCAGATTAATTAGGAAGCAGTTAATAGTCTTGTGTTATGGAAAATAAATCATCAGGAACGTATGCAGGGGAGAGACAATACCGGTGGCATTCGAACTTTGAGCATTTTAAGCTTTGAACTTTACATGCTGGTCTATGGAATGAGCATTTCACCAGGAAAAAAAAAAAAAAAAGCAGTCATACAATCAACACCTAACCAAAGGCCTCTATCAACTAAAGATGTGAAATCTTCCATGCAAGTCAGACACAACAACAACAACAAAAAAAAAAAAAAAAAGGAAAGAAAAAGAGAAGCAAAGCCAGAAAGCAAAAACCAAGTCTGTTCCTACACAACAACAACAAAAAAAAAAAAAAAAAAGGAAGGGAAAGAAAGAGAAGCAGACCCAGAAAGCAAAAACCAAGTCTGTTCCAACACAACAACAACAACAACAACAAAAAAAAAAAAAAGGAAAGAAAAAGAGAAGCAAAGCCAGAAAGCAAAAACCAAGTCTGTTCCAACACAGAAGTCAATTTCCAAATCACATACAGAATCCCCCCAAAAAAGGGGGGAGGATTAAAAAAAAAAACAAACACCACTCAGGTCTACAAATGGATAAGCAGTTCCGACACATCCCAGATCAGATCCCCACAAATGCAGTGGAGCTTTTCCTGGGCGGGGGGTGGGGGGGGGTGGGGGGGGAGGAGGAATTTAAAAAAAAAAAAAAAAGCTCTCCAAATGAATTTTTTCAAGTGACATCTACAAAGTGTGCCTCTTTCTGCCTCTCTCCCTGGCGCCTCATTGGAGGAAGGAGGGGGTTGTTTTCCTACGCTGCCCCCCCCCCCGGGGGGAGCAAAGACACAATCAAGATGTGAGCCGGAGGGGAGAAGCCACTTTTGACAACAGCAAATAAAAATAAAAGTGGCGCGGTCCGGTGACAGGCCGGCGCCCCGCTCGCACACCCCTCCCCGCGCCCCCCCAGCACCACCCCCTCCTCGCCGCGAGCTCCACTGCGTATGTGGTTCGCGGCTCCCGCCGCCCCGGAGTTCAAGTCGGAGCCGGGGGACGGCGGCGGGGCCCCCGCGGACGCACTTACCTTTCCGGCCCCCCACTTTTGAGCGCCTTCCCCGGAGCCGCGGAGGATGACACAAAGGGTAATAAAGGGGGGGCGGCGGCGGCGGCGGCGGCGGCGGCGGCGAGCCGGGGAAGCGGCGGCTCCGGGCGCGGGCAGGGAGATGTCTCCAGCCAGGGCCCGGCGGCGGCGGCGCGGCGGCGGCGGCGGCGGCGGCGGCGGCGGCGGCGGCGGGCGAGGGGCTGTGCTGCCGGGAGGCTTCTGCTTCTTTCTCTCCCCTCTCGCGGCCGGAGAGGAGGAGGGTGGAGGGGGCTCGGGAGGGAGGCTGGCGGAGGGGTGAGGGGGTAGGAGTCGTGGATGGGGGTTTGCGAAGAAGAAGAAACTCCTTCTTCCCCTCCTCTCTTCGGGCTCAATCCCCCTCTCGGGGCTCGGGGCTGGAGGGTGGGGGAAGGAACTCGGGCGCCTCCCCCCCACCCCCCTCGATTCAAGGTTGAAGCGGGGCAGAATTAGTGTCCTGTCCCTTTAAAAATAGAAATAAAAGGTGCCCCCCCTCTGCCACTGCCTCTCTCTTCATCATCAGCTGCTGCTGCTGCTGGGGTCTCTCTGCCGGGGGGGGGAGGGGGGGTTCGGGTAGAAGAGACGGGAGGCGCCCACTGCGCATGTCCCTCCCTGACGGGAGGCTTGGTTGGTGGACGGCAGGAGGAGGGGGAGGGGAGGAAATGAGACGGTCTCCCAGCAGCCTCCGAGGCGCGGGCGACCCGGAAGACGTTGTAGCGGGGGGTAGAGGGGCGGGGGCGGGGAGTAGGAGGAAGTTGCTACTCTTTAACTCTCCTCCCCCCCCTCTCCCGGCTCCCCGCTCCCGGCTTCACGCCCCCTCCTCTCTCCTAAGGGAAAGCGGAGGAGCGGAAGTGGGCGGGCACAGAGAGGAGGGAGGGAGACTGAGAGACAGAGAGAGAGAGAAAGAGAGAGAGAGAGACACGCGAGCGGGTCACGTGCCCCGGCGGGAGACGCGCTGCGTGCGCCGGGCATGCCGGGAGTGGTGGTGTCCCGTTGGCAGCGGCAGGTGGAGCTGAGGCGACTGCGCGGCGCGCGGCGGCTGCGGCGCGGTTCTCGTGCTCGCCGGAGTCCTCCACCGCCCTCCCTCCCCCTCCCCCCCCCGGTAAGGGCAGGCTTTTCCCGGGAGAGGCCCCGGCGCGGCGGGCTGGCCGCCAAACGGAGGCCGGGGTCTCGCCCGCGGCGAAAGGGCGACTCGAAAGGGATGAGGACGGATGGTGGCGGAGGCTGGGAGCGCGGGAGGCGGGCAGGCTTGTGTAGGCCGGGCAGGCCCGCGCCGGGGGCCGGCCTCGCCGCGGGGCTGCCGCGGGATCCCCCGGCCTGCACGGCTTCCCCGCGACGCCGGGTCGCCGGCGGGTCCTCCGCTCTGCCCCGAGGCGGGGGGAACCTCGGCGGTCCTGCGGCGGGACGCGGCTGGGGGCTGCGGCCTCCGCGGGCGGTCCTGTTGGCTGCCGCTTCCGCTCAGCGCGGCGGGGGGCATCCTGGAGGCCTCCGGGGAGCATCCTGGGTGCATCGTGGGGGCGCCCGTGGTGCATCCTGGGGGCATCCTGGAGGCATCCGAGGAGCATCCTGGGGGCTCCCGGGGTGCATCCTGGGGGCATCCTGGAGGCATCCTGCGGGTGCCCGGGGTGCATCCTGGAGGCATCCTGCGGGTGCCCGGGGTGCATCCTGGAGGCATCCGGGGGGCATCTTGGGGGCGCCTGGGGAGCATCCTGGGGGCATCCTGCCAACTCGGGCCTTAGCTGCACCACCCGCGCTGCGCGCCTCGCCGCCCTGCCTGGAGCCCCGCAGTGGGTTTGGGGAGGGGGTGAGCCGGGGGATTCCCCCTCCCGCGTCTTGGCGTTGCCGCAGCCACACGACGCCAGTGCTCATTTTCGGAAGGGGATTTGGGGTTGTGTCGTCTCTGTGCTGTCAGAGTTGGTAAAGGACAAGAAAATTTTCCTTTTCCTGTTGTAAGGGATATTTCGTTAAGTTTCTTTGGTTACCTGTCTCGGCTTTAGAGGCTCGGGTTTCTCAATTAAATGCCACTTTTTTTTTTCCCCTCGTATGATAGTAATTGCAACTCTTAAGGAATTCATGAACTCACATTAGTTAGTAAGGCTTTTTTAAGTAAATATCTCTGTTTCTTTTCCCATATTCATCGCGTACAATCCTAACTAGGAGCGTTGGAATCTTTAATCTTCTGTAAAAGTGCTTTGAGAGGCTATCACCCTTTATGGTTTCTTTTAAGACCAGGGAATCCAGGGGGGTACAGTGGTTAGCGCCGCCTTCAGCCCGGGCGTGACTCCAGGGTTCCGGGATCGAGTCCCCCCGTCGGGCTCCCTGCATGGGGCCTGCTTCTCCCTCTTCCTTGTGTCTCTGCCTCTCTGGGTCTCTCATGGATGAATAAATAAAATCTTTAAAAAGAGAGAGAGAGAGACACCAGTACTCTAGAGTGCTCCGTGTTTGTCGTGTTGATTTGTAATAGTTGATTCTGTAAGGGGTCCTTTAGGATACACTGTCAAAGTTGCTACTTTTCCACATTTTACTTCTGTTTTGGCAGTAGACCTATCCACAGACACTCCACTGCCTTACGACTTCCTCTGTGGATAGAGTAGTCTTGTCAAACGGAATGAAAACTACACTCCTGTGCCTTAAAATTTCGTTTATATTGCAACTAAACATTTACCACTTTATAAAAGAAAAAAGTTCGAACAAGGCAATTCAAGTGCCCTAGGTAAACAAATTTAGATTCTTTTTTAATGTTAAAATACGAAATATGCAAAAAAGTGCACAAATCCTAGGTATGCAATGTAGTGAATAATCACCTAGTGAACAGCCTGGTGATCTCCAACCAAAGTCAAAAACCAGAACATCGTTGGCGCTGGAGACCTACCTACTCCTCCCCCATCCATTCCTGCTGCCCCACTTCCGGAGCGCCACAGTGAAGTAATTTTTAGGGTAATTATTTCCTGTTTTTAAGTATTTTGTTAACCACCAAGGTTGGCTTTCCTACACGATGTAGATGAATTTTGCCTGTTTTTCACCTATATTAAAACAGTTGCACATTATGTATTCTCGTTTCACCAGTATTTAACCCTGTTAGTAGATTTTAGCTGTTGTGTGTATTTTTTTCATTTTTGTAATGTCTATGGTTAAGTGTGGTGTAGAAAGTCTTGTTATGAATAAACCAGTTAATTTAGCCTGATATTAATGGACATTCGGGTTGTGTCCTGTTTTTAGCAATCAGAAACAATGATGCTGTGAATGTTTTTATGATGGTATTTTTATGCACATAGCATGCATTTTTTGCCGAGCATAGCTTATGCCAAACGTTTATAAAATAGATATATCAATTTATACTCCCACCAACAATATATGATACATCCCTTTTTTTCCTACATTCTCACCAACAGTTGATATTTTTCATTTTTGCCAACATGATGCATGTGGCTTTCTGTTATTGTTTTAATTTACAGTGCTCTGGTTATTAATGACTTTGAGCCTTTTGTGAAACATTTTTTGGCTATTTTGATTTCTTCTTTGAATTGTCTTTTCCTTTTCACAATATTTCTATTGGGTTTTCTTTGTTTTACTTAAAGATTTGACCAGCGTGGCAAATATTTTCTCTATGCTTGGAGCACTTCTCGCTCCCTGAATGGTTTTATCTTCATTTCATTCTTTACTGGTTTATGTGCTATTAATATTTTAAAACTGTGACTTTAACTCAAAGTAAGAGGTTCTATAGTTGTGCTACCCCAATGCCTTAGCCCGCTTATGGCTGGCGTGGTCCACTTGAAATGTGGCTAGTGTTGCTGAGGAACTGAATTTTTAGTTTTATGTAGTGTTAATTTAAACTTGAAAATTGATACTTTTGATTCAGTTATTGAAAAACCCTTAAGTATGTTTGGAACAACTTGGGCTCGTAAATGTACTTTCTTGACTGGGAACTTGATAAAAATAAGGTCAAGTATTTCTGGTGTCAATTTAGCATCTGAATTGTCATATTCTGTAATTATCAAATACCAGATTTCTAAGACTTAGTATGAAAACACTGTAAAATAATTCAGCCTTTTATTATGATCGCATGCTGAAATTACAATAAGTGAATTTACTTTGTTTTACCTTTTTTAATGTAGGTACTAGAGAATTTTAAATTATATATATAAGCGCTATTTGTATTTCACTTGGACAGTACTGTTCTTACCATCAGTGTTTAGGTTACATATTCCTATATTTCTGTTACTTTCAGTTTTCATTAGTTGTTGCATCTCTGAATTTTCTTTGAAGATCTTTTTCGTTTTGCTTTTAATACACTACTTAGAGTATTTTTAATACAAATGTGCTGACAGCCAATTATCTTAATTTTTTGCTTCCCTTATAGTGTCTTGTTTCATCTTCAATCTTGAAGAATGTTTTGGGTCTTTTAAATTGTAGATTGTGGTTATTCTTCAGAATCTTGAAGAAAATGTTCCACTGTAGGCTTATTTGTTTATTTATTTATTTATTGGCTTCCATTACTGATTTTGAGCAGTCAGCTGTTGATCTAATACGTGCTTTGAAAGAAGTCTGTAAAAAAATGTTTTCTTTGTCTTAAGTTTCTGCTATTTCTTTATGATGTTTGTATAGAATTCTCTTTTACCTGTTTTGTGTTCATTGAGATACTTGAATCTCTGGATCAGTGTCTTTTTAAGAAGTAAATCATTTAAATTCTTAGTGTTTCAGCTACTAGCTAAATATTACAGCTGTGTCTTTTTTTGGCACAGTATTTGTAATTTCTTTTTGACCGATAATTTCAGTTTCTAATTTTTTAAGGGTCTATTTCTGCTGGTTCATGATTTTTTTCTTCTGTGCCTGTGTGCTAGTTGTTGGATTTGAAAAATTATGGAAATATATAAGTCTTAGGATAACAGTATCTTTTTTTAAGAAGACGTGCTTCCCTAGGAAAGATGAGTAGGCAGGCGTGCCACCAGTCCCAAGTCACTTAGATGATGTGCAAGACTTCAGATTACTTCTGTTGTATACGTGACAATAAGCAGGGCTTTAGGTGTTGAGTCCTTATGAGTTCTTTTGTACATCTAGTTCTCCCCAATCCTGGGAATGTTGCTCTTAGGATCTCAACTTAATTTGGGTGATGATGTGTTTGCATCCCACATTTGGTGGGTCCTGTGCTTTGATTTTTTTTTTTTTTTTTTCTTGTAGCCCTGCAAAGCAACCAGGAATTCAGCCTGCCTTCTGTTTTCTCAGCCTTATTTTCTGGATGGGTAAAAAGCCTCAGGAAGAAGTGACTGAGTAAGGGTTTTTGCGTCTCCCCCCACCCCCACCCTCCCACCCCCGGTTTACTTTGTAGATTTTGGCATGTGATTTCATACTGCTTTATTATTTTATTATTTGATTTCTATTGTGAAGTTTTTTTGTTGGTTTCAGCAGGATCATTCTGATCTGCCCTTACCATGAGTAGAAACATTATCCTCTTTTTTTCTTTATTAATTTTTGAGATTTGATTTCAAGATCTTTCTACTTCCAACCAAACTCGTGTATTTTATCCTAAGTCATACATTAGTTTACAGTTTTTAAGTCATACATGCCTCTTTTTTTTGAAGATTTGTATTTATTTATTTATTTATTTATTTATTATTAGATTATTTATTTATTCATGAGAATGACACACAGAGAGAGAGAGAGGCAGAGACACAGGCAGAGAGAGAGGCAGGCTCCAGGCAGAGAGCCCGATGTGGGACTTGATCTTGGGTCTCCAGGATCTGGCCCTGGACTGAAGGCGGCGCTAAACCGCTGAGCCACCGGTGCTGCCCTGGATTTATTTATTTTAGAGAGAACTCAGGCATGCAAGTGGGGGAGGAGCAGAGAGGGAGAGAACGAGAAACTCCAGCAGACTGCCTACAGTGTGGGGATCCCTGCCTGTACAGAGCTCTTTCTCACAACCCTGAGATCCTGACTTGAGCTGAAATCAAGAGTCATATCCTTAACTGAGCCATCCAGGCATCACTCACTTGGGTGAGTTAAAATTTAGAAAATAGTTTCAAGCAGTTTTTGAGTTAATGATTTAAAAGAACACGTTCTTGAAGTAGTAACTACTTGTACATGGCTTGTTAAAAACAGATTACATTTATTTATCTCAAGTTTAATTCTCCAGAATGTGGCTCACTAGAGTTGCACCACAGTGGACCGAAATGGTTGTGCCTTTATCCCCACACCTTGTTAAGCCTCGGGAAGTGTATGATGTTGGACAAGGTGGATGTTAAAGCTCCCATTTCCCCATCTTTAGGGGCAAACACCTTTTAAACTTTTTTGCGGGGTTCTTGTGGTATTTCTATTTCCAAATAACATGTGCTACCACTTGATTTTTCCATTTTAGGCATTATCTGTTGACTTCCTGTCTTGATTATTTAAATTGAGGTTTTTCCAAACCCTCCTCCATCATTCCAGTGACACCTTACTTTTTGGTTGATAATCATTCTATGTCTGTATACTTTCTCAATGTTTATCAGTAATTCAGTCCCAAAAGATCTACTCGTTGTTAGCATATCCTCTCCATAGGGTTTTAAATATTTTTTTAATTTTTTTTATTTATTTATGATAGTCACACAGTGAGAGAGAGAGAGAGGCAGAGACACAGGCAGAGGGAGAAGCAGGCTCCATGCACCG